AAACACAAAAGACTGATTTATAAATGATGATACCTGTTATATTTATGTATAAGAGAGATTGGCATGAGAGATTGGCATTTCTTTGCTGGAATGAATTGTCTGTGAGGCCAATGTGGGAAGAAAACATACCTGTTATGTTCATCGCTATATCCCTAGAGGTTAGAAAACTAATTTTTGAATTACCTCATTAATAATTATTTAGTTTACTCTGAATGACTTGAAGTCATTGGGAAGATTACATGAGTAATCACTATTGTTGACAGGTTTTTAAATGTCTGCTTAGAGAATACTTAGTAATAATTGTGCTTGATGTAATATCCAATTTATTAATCTTATGAATTTAGTAATTAGTATTTCTTTACAATTAATCAACTCTTCTCAAAACATTTACATAAATCTTACATACCAATAAATTGGAATGTGTATTGAATTAAATTTTCCATGGACTTTAAACATGGGTTTAAATTTTATTTAATAAAATTCTTCCCAGTGTTTGATTATAATACCCAGTCTAACATATCAATTTATCTTAAATGCTTTAGCCACTTTTAAAGAAGAAAATTATACATATTACAGTGAGTCCAAAGCAAGTCACTATGCGTACCCTAAAACTTGGTATGAATGTGCTCAGAGTAGAGATTTACATTTCTTTCTGTCTTTTTCCTCCCTACACTTTGCTGATGTAGAAATTTTCATATTTTCCCTGGGACTTCAGAAATATGAGTCTATTTTTGCATTTTCCTGGGATTTTGTAACCACACTAGGCTTAAAATAAAAAGAAGATTGTTCCTTAAATTTGCACATTCTGGGTTGTTGACTAGTAATTTTTGTCTAGTCATTGGAATTTGCTGTACATTCAGAGATGATTCAAACTCAAGATACTGGCTATGAGGTTGGACTTTACTTGTTGTATGCACTTATGCCTTTATTTATTTACTTATTTATTTTTTTAAGTTCAAACCTAACTTTTAATTTTGTGCAATACTGATGTCTCCTCCAAAGTGATTTGCTTTTTACATCCCAATTGCTTGTGTTACATAATTTTCCTGTTATTATGATATATACCCTGATATATTAACGTGATTAAAAACTCATGGACTTTCATTATTATATCTTTGTTATCCAGGACTTTCTAGGTTTTTATCTACAAGGAGATGAGAGACTATTTCTGTTTAGTTACCACTTCTAGATATTCCATTAATTTATCAAATGTGCCCTCTTATACTGGATGCAATCATTAATGTGAATTCACTGCTGGCCTCCTCTTCCCCTTGGTCGCCACGTGTGGCTGTCAGCACTGGGCAGTCCTTTCTATTCCTGCTACAGAACTACTTTTGATTCTCGTACTTGACTTAGAAGTCTTTCCTTACACACATGGAAAGAAATACATCTTCATACTACAAACATATTTGTAATTAGAAAAACAAAATACCCATATGTTAGCTATTTATTAAAAACAATAGAAATGAAAGATATTCTACCCTTTTGTGTTTTTTTGTGTGTATATCATTAGTGCCTATTTACATCCTTCACATTAACTTTTCTTTTTTGAGTATTGTGAACTGTTAGCCTTCAACAGACTCAAATTGTTTCATTTAGCCATAAAGATTATTGGTTTTTTGATGTTCATAATGTCAGAGATTACCCAGGGAGAAGCAGTTTAGTTTGCTTTCTTTAGTCTTTCAAAACTGCCTCTGACGTTTTTTTATTTTAGATGAATCTTGTTTTATGGCAACAAAGGGATGTTCCAGAAATAGCCTGTTTTTTTTTTTCTTTTTTTCTCTTTTTCCCTTTCCCCAATAACTAAGGAACCCTGGTTCTTTTTTGTTGGTGGATATTTGGCAATGAATATCTGGATTGCCTGTAAGTGCTGGCTGAGGGCAAAAGTATGGTTGCTGCCATTGGTCTCTTTTAAGGAGAGATCTGGAAAAGATATTTCTTTTAAGGTTTATGAATTCATGCTGCTTTTTTTTCTGTAACATATCATGTTGCTGCATCTACTCTCCTTTTATTATGACGTTTCACCAGCTTCAGAGAATCTATACTACACTAACAAGAAAGTTGCTTTGTAAGCAAGATATCAAAGCAAGGCAATTTAAAATCGGTAGATTAAAGAACAAGTCATCCAGACCAGCGGTAAATGAACGCCCGTTAGCCCAAATGTCAAGGATCACCTGCAAAATGAGAATGAAATCAGAACAGTGTAGTGAGTTTTCCAAATTTCATTTGTTTACTTTGTTGGTGTTACTTTCTTAAATTAAATGTTGGAATCAGCATTTCATTGTTAAAAAACATAAAATATTTTTTAAAATTTTACTTTCTTTGTTAAAAAAGTAAAATCTTTTGTTTTAAACTTTACTTTTCAAACTGTGGATGGATGTATTAACGTTGAATTTTTGAAAAATTCAAAAGAAGGTTGAACAATCCAACCTTGACGAGATCTTGCGTGCCTCTGGACCTCAGGAACTGTAGAACTGGGAACCAGAAGACCTACCACTTCGATGTCTTTCATTTTCCAGGTAGACTTAGACTGCTTTTAACCAGACAGTGACATCCATGGCCCCTGAGATGACAGCAGTTTGTGTCTTGCCATATCTATCACCAGACAGAAACTTTTCTCATTTCTAGGAAAGGGCTCTGATCAGCAGGTTTGGTTAAGATGCCCCTCTTGGACCATCCACCAAAGACAGGACTTGTGTAAGAATCTGGTAGTTTCTTCAATAGCTAGATGGACTGGGTGGGGTTGTTCCAAATAAAACTGAGTAATGCTGTGCAAACCATAGAAGCTGTAATGACCAAGAGGTCCTTACTTGGCATAAAAAAAAAGGTGACAGTCATATGCCAGGCACTGATTTATTTCCTTTCTTCCTTTGTTCCGACTTTCATTGCTTTCTAAATGTTTTTAATTGTGTTAGTTTGCTGAGGGTGCCATAACAAACTAGCATGCATTGGGTGGCTTAAACAACAGAAATTAGTTTTCTTACAGTTCTGGAGGCTGGAGGTCCAAGTTCAAGGTGTAGGCAGGTTTGGTTTCTCCTGCAGCCTCTCTTCTTGGCTTGCAGGTGGCTGCCTTTTGGCTGTGTCTCCTCCACATGACCGTCCCTTTGTGTGTGTGTATCCGTGTCCTAATATCTTCTTCTCATAAGAACACCAGTCATATTGGATTAGGGCCCACATATGACCTGATTTAACTGTAATTTCTTCGGCAAGAGTCCTATCTTCAAACACAGTCGCATTCTAGGATACTAGGGATTAGAACTTCAATGCTTGAATTTTGGATGGAAACCATTAAGACCATAATATTGGCCAATGAAATTCAAAATCCAAGTATAAAATGATTTAGGCTAATTTGAAGCTGGATAAAGTACTACATTTTCACATTAAACAATTTTTTTTAAGCAATGTATTCTTGACTACCAGATTAAGTTTCTCTTATTTGAATGGTGCCTAATAAATACTAATACTAGTATCTTTACAAAATCTTCCTTTTCTAAACTTCTTTTTCACATTTAACTTCAATTATGTTTCTTTTATTGTCTCTATTTTGCATTTTTGGGGATGGCAGCCTATCTTTTGTTGCCTATACTTTGTAACATTTTTTGATGCTCTATAAATAAACAACTTATTCTCAGTGGTCTATCCTTGCCTCAGTATATCACAGAACTTCAATAAACAGTGGATTTTATTTAAAATTTAGATTATTAGTTACCTTATGACTAATATAGATACAATGCAATACAATAAAATACACTAATAGTTACTTGTAACTTTCATTTGTAGAAAGAAGCACTTAGATTTGGGAATATTTATCACTGAAACTATTGTGCTCTATTCATGGATAATACATGTTTATACAGTTTAATCATGTTAAAGTCAATATTTTACTGTGAGAGTAGTTTATTTAAAAGTTGCGGCATTCTTACTTTTAATTCCAAGAACTAAGGTGTTTGGTGTCCATTTGAGAATATCATTAGGCTTTCCTTATGGATATTTTCTTCTTTAAATATAAATTACAGTAACATTCAAAGCAATGGAAAAAGTGATCTGAGATGTGGTATCATTTAGTATTTATGTTGTTTTTGATGTCTTATTTTTCAAACTTTTGTTGTTTCAATCTTTGTCTCTATATGTAAGAGATGTAAATGTAATTGTCTCTTGTTTTTCTTAATATATTCACTACCTATTTATATACACAAATATGCAAATCAGGACTTTATTCCTCCCTCAAGAATTCCTACCTCTGCACATCACTGTTTCCCCAGAACTAGAAGGATTCTCAATATATCCTTCTAGTTTACTTTTCTGTTTGCCCTATTGAATGAAAAAAAAAAGAAACATAATCTAGCTCTGATGTTTATGGCATTATGAAAGTCAATAATTATTTTTTAATTTGCTATTTATTTCTTCTGTTCATTTCTCCTAATCTAAAGCAAATGATTGGAAATGGTAACTGGATTCCCACTTCCAAGTATGGTCTAAATTATTGTCTCACAGTTCAAAACTGTATACAAAATTTGTCTGAGAAATAGTTCATTAAGTGTGTGATTTTAAAGATAAATATTAGAAAAAAGAGCTAAAGTTTCAGTTCATAGACTTCTATACATTTGAAAAACCGTTATATCTATTTGTGCATTTTTAATAAACAAAGGCTTATCTTTTGTCATGTTCATTAAAGGCATTTTGATTAAAATAAACTTTCTTTTATTCTAAGATCTTTGATACCTGCTCGTATGTACTTCCATTTAATTGTAGTTACATGTCCTTTAAAAAAGCTTACATGTAAATAATTGGAAAAGTTAAGATTTTTATAATAATTCTTAGAATTTTTTATTGAGCTGATAATTTTAAAGCCTATGACATAGTAAAATAATTTCTGAGATTCAGTTAAAACTTTTCATTTCTAATTTTGAGTTCTTTTTACTTTGTGGCATCTGCATATGAAGATTTCCTCAGTTTCTCAGTGTTTTGGTCTCTAACTATTGATTTCACTTTTTGTCCAGGATGTTTTGAATAATTTGGGATCTTGTGAACTGGATGAAGATGACCTAATGCTTGATCTAGAATTTTTAGAGGAACAGAATCTTCATCCTTCAGGTAAGTTTTGAATAAATGCACAATATCATACAACTCTGATCCTAGTCATTTAACTTTTATTGATAAGCTGAATATTATTTAGACTGCATTCAATCTTTTCGATCCCCAATTTGTGTATTCTATGTGCTGGGTACCATGGACACATGATTCTGGTGATCTTAAAATCTATTATGGAAATATAAATTCAGTTGGAATATACTTATAAAATAAGAAAAAACTGTAAAACAAAAGTGATTTCAAAGAAGGAAATTCTAATTAAAAACAATGAAAATGTTAATATTGTCTCCTTTTTTGTAAGAAAACAATTACAATCCCATTTTCCCTTTTTTTTATGTAGCCAAATGGAAGTTTTGTGGGTCTAGATTTGCTCTTCCAAATCTTAGCCACTTCAGTAATAACTGCATAGGTCGATGTCGATGCAATAAGGTTGACCTGAACATTAATAAATGCCAATAGCAACCACAAACATATACTCATTAACACATGCACACACATAGAGTTATTGTATGAGATAAATAAATTCTTGTTGAATGAATAAAGAAGGGAAGCCCATTATATTTGCAATAGTTTAAATTTATATTAAAGCATAAAATGTCATGGCTCTAAATACAAAAATTACTCCCTTTGTAGTAGGTTATACAAATTAATTATTCATTCAAATTTAGATATTTGACTATAAAGGCAAGCTTTTACTTATTTTTTTTATTGCTGATAATACCTTTAACATAGTCATTTTCAAGTTAAAGTAGAAATAACATTAAACTGGAGCTTGCAAATCTTGGGTCCTACTGCATACATTTGAGAAAATCAACCTCTTGGATTTTAGTGTCCACATTTTTAACTTTTAGGAATTAGACATAGTCTCTATGGTTATTTCCAGCTGTAATATTTTTATGATGAATTTTTGTTCATGCAGTATTTTTAAGTTATAGATATCATATTAGCAATTGTCAAAAGAAGGTAATGACAATGTTTATATTTTCTTACACTCTATTTTTAAGCTAACATCAAAAAAAGCTACTCTAAAATTTTTTTCAGTTGAATATGAATTTAAGATAATTTCTTGAGATATTCTTCCTGCAGTTAATTTGACAGATATTCTTTTAAAAATGTAGATTTTTCTCACTTTTATGCAGAACCTTATACAAATTTATCATTCATGTGTATTTATCTTAAAAGAGTTACACATGGTGAGAATGTACACCTTTTTGGAGGGAAATTTCTCAATATCTAGCAAAACTATACATGTGTTTGCCTTTAGAACCAACTATCCAACTTCTAGAAATTTAATCCTAAGAAACTTGAAATATACAAAGTAATGTATGTAAATAGCCATTCATTGCAAAATATTTGTAACAAAATATTGGAAACACATCAAATTCCCTCAGCAGGATACTTGTTGACTGACTAAACAATGATATTCTAAGCTGTCATTAAAAGGAATAATGAAGGTATCTATATGTGCTCTGGCATGATTGTAAGTATATATTGTTGATGGAGAACTTTACAATGATGGATTACAATACCTAAACCTAAACCGTTGATGAATCTTAATGTCACTGAAAGGGTAACAACTAGACATTTTGTCCTTAATGCAATGCCTAGAGAAGTACACAGCACCACCACTCCTGCCCACAAGGACTTCAGTCTACTCAAGTCTCTTGATTAAGCTATGATTTCATGAGAAATATTTGGATGAGGGAGATGAAATATTAAATAGCATGATGAGATTGCCAGCACCCAAGTGTAGCATGTGGAAAATTCTACAGGATAAATGATCTGGTTTCTTTAGCAAATAAATGGCAGGATAAAAAGGATAGGGGACGTTGTAGATTAAAAGAAGCAATGCAATGTGACATCTTTGTTGGCATACTTATTGAAATATAAAAACACTATAAAAAGATATTTCTGAATTAATCAAGGAAATTTGAAAAATGAATTATTACAGAATTATTAATTATTTTGTTGAGTGTTGAATATTTTTTGTTTTGTTTTGTATTTTAAGGAAAACTTTTTATAGAGATTCGTATGGTCACAACAATATGGTATTTGAGATTTGCTGAGATTTGCTTTGCCAACTGGTATGGAAGAGGAAATAGATGAAATGAAGTTGGCAAATTGTTGAAAGTTATCAAAGCTGGGCAATATGAGGTGAAAATGAGGTGAAAGCTTCATGCATTAATTATAATATGTTCTCTATTTTGTGTAGTTTTAAAGATTTTCACAACAAAAAATAAAACCAAACAATAATTAGAAAGAATTGCACATAGTGCAGCAATCTCGGTTATGCTTGGTAGGCAACCACAGTAAAGAGCAGGGATGACTTAAGAATATAAAGACTCAGTGGATTTGCTGGGGAGCAAAAGAAACATGTTTAAACTTTAATTTCGCTTTTATAAAGTAATGAGTGCTATCTACTTCATTAGTTCACTGTAAAGAAAAAATTGATATAATAAATTCTATGAATTTCCTGGGTCTCATTCAAGGTGTAGAGAGCTTGGTTGAAGCCCAGACTAGGGTACCTTATGAATCAACTGAGTTAACCAAATTGTTCATAAGACAAATGGTGTTACTTTGCATATGTGAAGTACAGTTCTGGTAAACCTTAGGGTGACTAGGGTTTATTTAATGTTACTGAATAAAATGTCTTTAGAAAGCCTGTCTCACTTTGGATGCCACATTATGGGGTTTGAGAAAACCCACAAATATCCCTTTGTGCGCGTTAGCTCAGAGAGGAATTTCTGGTTAAATTGGCTTTACCCAATTTATTTTCTTTATTAAGCAGCATAAAGGTCTTCTCAGAATGTAAGAAGCTCGTTATTGATAATCAGTGTTGATAACAAGCTCATTAATGCTAAATATTCTAAAATGATGGTTTAAATAAAAATGATTTTGAAAAATCTGAAAACTAAGATAATGGTATCAGTAAATTCTACTGCTTACATTACTGAAAATCATTAACAAGTTTTAAAAACTTTTTAAGGGCAAAACATATCCATTTCTGGCTATAGAATCTTATGAAAGCGAAGATTTATAGCAGTTTATAGTAAGGCTTAATATAATGGCCAAGATGAATTTTGTAAAAGACCAGAGAAGTATTTTTATTTTGCAAATATTAAGTCGAATATTTGTAGTAATTGTCATATGTAGCATTTATAAGTTTTATTCATTTTAAGATACAATTAATAATGGTTAGATTTGCAAAGACTGGAGAAATCATCGTGTGTAGAAAGTGTAGAGATTCAGCTGGCCTTTTTGCTACAGTAATCTGCACATAGTAGATACTCAATTGGTATCTATTAATGTGATTTTTTTAAAATAAGGCCAAACATCTTTGGACATGTATATAATGAAATAAACGAATTTTTTAAAAAAAATAAAAATTAGTAAAGTTCAATCATTTTCTTTTTCTTTACAGAAGATCAAACACCTTTTATTAAGAGATCTGTTTTACTGGACAGAGTTTGAAAATTTGTGTTTAAGAACATTCCCTTTCATTTTTTCAAAACAAATATATTGGACACTGCTCATATTGAGTGATTTAACATGCAAAGAGACATTCTAAAGGACAATAGAATGCATAATAAATGTACATATGTTAATATTCTTATAATATTAATCATTCTTGGTTGATGTACCATAGTTTTCCCTTGGTATCCACAGGGGATTGGTTCCAGGACCCCCGGATGCTCGAGTCCCTTATATAAAATGGGGTAGTATTTGAATATAACCTATGCACATCCTCCTACGTACTTTAAATCATCTCTAGATTACTTGTAATACCTAATTCTTTGTAAATGCTATATAAATAGTTGTTATATTGCATTGTTTAGGGGATAATGATAAGAAAAATAGTCTGTACGTGTTTAATACAGTTGCAACCATCGTAGGCCGTTTGATCAACAGTTGGTTGACTCTGTGGATAGGAAACCCGCGGATACAGAAGGCCAACTGTACTTGCAGTATAAGAAATGTGAGCTAAAGTGAATCAAGAGCCAGTAAAATATCAGAATAGCACAAACAAAAGAGAAAACACCAATTTGAGTTGTGTAGTTCAAGGTCTATGTCATAGAAATGCTCACATACTCTCATATTTGAATATGTATCTGTATAGTTCGTCATGTTCAATTTTGTGCTTATAACTGTACCTACCTTGGTAAAGATGGCTATTTATTATTGTGGTCATAATAATTCTGGGCATCTTTTAATATGCTTTTTATTTCTTTCTTCGTTATCTGTATTTTCATCTAAAAGTAAAGTGTAAATTTGTGGTTAGATTTTTAAAAGTTTGTTTTTGACTAGTGAACAATTTGAATAAAGTTCCATGAGTCATATGAATGTATAAATATTATCTATGGAGTCCTAAATTAACATGCTTCCTCCCTAAAGGGAAAGGTAGTAAAAAATAATACTACAAATAAAATGTCAGTTTTATAGTGCAGTAAGTAGATAGTCTTTCTTTCTTTTTTTTTTAATGAAAGCGAGAAAGGGCAATTTCAATGAAAGAAAGGTATGTGAATTCAAAGTGGGTTCCCAAAAGGAGACTTGCCTTACGGAGAAAGAATAAAAGCAACTATTCTAAATAATTTACTCTGAGTGTGTGGCATTATCTAATTTTGTCTGTGCAAATTCTAATATAAAAGCTAAACTTTTAGATTAAAAAGCTTATAGATTAGCCTTCTAGGTGTCTTTTATTATGTTTTCTTGAATTAATGCTTAAATTACTTTTCTGGATAGTATTTTTTATGAATAATTAATATGCATGTTTCAAATACAGGATTATCGATTTGTTTAATACCAGACATTTCATTTCCCCTGTAGTAAAATATTATATTCATTGCTTCTCTAGTTAATAAATTATTTATAATGCATAATGACCAAACATAGTTATTTTTAATTTAAAAGCATGAAATACTATCATTTATACCTTGAAGAATTAAAAAATATATTAGTGACCCTTCCCATTTTTTTTTTTTTAAGATTTTATTTTTCCTTTTTCT